GAAAAAAAACCATCAAGAGAAGTAGTTATGGTACTGATGCAGGTATTTATCAAACTCGGGCAGTTTATTGCCTGTTTTAGAAACCCCTGGTGAAGTAACCCGCGGTTCTTCTGGGGGTGTTTGGGGAAGGCAGCTCCGTATGCTGCACTTCCAGAATGATGCCAGCTGTGCAGAGTTGCCCATTTTCATAAATGATTAACTTAGGAAAAGTTAATGCATAATTAGATTCCAAGAATCCTTCTCGCAGAACCCGAACCTGCATACGAGACTGCTGCGGCGGGTGGTGGGAGAGCCCAGGGCATCTTTCCACGCTACCAGGTGCCATCTGCCCTGCGGTCGATAGCCCTGGCGAATGGTTGTGTTTCTGGAGGGAGGAATATTTCCAAGAGCTACCTGGAAAAGTCAAAATCTGACCTTCTGTTAATGTTGTGCCTGCATAATAAACTGTTTCAATCGTTTTCCCTTTTCATTTTTAAGTTGCTCAAGAGAAGCCAGAGCAGATCCCACTGGAGAACCGCTCCTGTGTCCTCATACGACGGGATCTAGTTGCTCTCCCAGCCAGTCTTATCAGTCAAATCGGATACCGTTGTCACCCAAAACTCTACTCAGAGGGAGATCCTGGAGAAAAACTTGAGCTCGTTGCAGGTAATAAGGGGGTAGCTTTTCTTTGCTTGAGAATGCCTGGAGATCACTGATGTTTTCCTTCTTGAAATGTGTTCTTCATCTTGCTTGCACCATTGCTGGGGTCATGCGTCTTGTGTGCCCTTGCTGTCTCTTTCTGGATTATTCATCACCAATCATCTCGTAAAAAGTTGTAAGTTTCATTTAATTTGGTGATAGAAAAATGTGTCATTAACAGGATTTATTAAATTGAATTCATTTCACATTTTAATTGAATTCTCCAGCTTGTATTCTTCCTGATTAGTGTGGGCTGCATCACAGTTGTGTTTGGATTTAGATGCACGGATCTTAAAAAAAAAAAAAAAAATTGCATTATAAGATTTACAAAGCAATGGAGATAAAATTTGTGTCCATGAACAAGGTTCGAAAAACTTGTAAAAGATTTTTTTTTTTTAAATTGGGGGTGTTACTAAACGGTCAAACGCTGCAGTAGGAAGGGAGAGAAGGAATTGGTTTTGGTCCTATCTTTATTTTCATTCTGGGGGGAATTTACAATTTACTTCTCTATAGAGGATTTATGGCCAGCTTGAGGTGGAAGATGGTGCTGTTTAGCTCTTAGTGATACTGGTGGTGTAAAGCTGGATAAAGAGAGAAATCCGGTAGCCCTGAAACCCTGGCCATGCTAGCCTGCAGCCGGGTACCCGAGTGCTGCACAGAAGACAGATGTTTGACTGGGGTGTCCAGATCAAATCCCAGTTTAAATAACGATATTCTGCTTTTATAAGTTCCCCCCAGCTTCTCCTTGCTGCAATAGTCCCCTCAGCTTATAGCCCACCTGTTGTGAAGTTTTTTCCCTTGGACGCAGCTATGTTTAGGTGAAGCGATCTTTGCACGACAGCCCGTACCTGCTGCCCAGGCGGGGAGGTTTAATTAATATCTGTAAAGCCCTTGGTACAAAAAGGACATGTGGCAGCGCGATCAATCCAAATCAGTTGCCTTTTCTTTCTGGTCATTTATCTCTTGGTGAGTAGCATGGTTTTATTTTCAGTCTGTAGAAGGAATCTGGATTTCAGGGGATGCCCAGAAAGCTTTCCATCAGATCGAGGATGGGTCTTTGATGGAAGGCAGGAGTAAAACGCACACACCGCAGCGCAGCATACAACCACAAGTATTTATTTTGTATCTGGAATATTCATTTTGTACCCATTTACATTTTATGTGAGACTTCTTAAAACCATCAAGTGGTGCAGGTTATTTTCACAGTGAAAGCTGCAAATTGGCTCGAGGCAGCTCTGCTTGATTTACATTTTTCAATCTGGAAAAAAAGTAGATTAATATCTTTAACTGATAGTGGCTGCCTCGGTTATTTTTTATTTATTAAAGTGAAGTTACCCTCAGTAGCATCTGGCGTTCCCTCTGATGGCTTCTCTCTCAAAATACTGCTGCCAAAGAAAGGCTCCGCAGCTAATTGCGGTCGCAAACCTGGTGAGACCTGGGGGGGGGGGCTGACCCCAGGGCACGCGGGAGCATCCTGCAGCGAAAGTTTTCCTCAACTCTCCATTTGGAGTATTCTTCTTTTGTCTCTGATTTTTCATGCCATAATTGATTCTGCAAACTTCAGCAGCCCTCTCCGAGAGGGTATTGAACAAGCCTTGCAGTCATCGTAGTACGTCTGATGGACGGATACTGTGCACGGAGCGCAGCGAGAAGCAGGATGGCCCTGAGATCCGGAGCGATGCTTGCTTTTTCTGGGGCAGGACCGGTGGCCTGGGCTGCCCGCGGCGGCAGGGAAGGCGCAGGCAGCTGCCGTCCCCGGGCAGAGGGTCGGGCTTGGGGAGCTGCTGGGTGCCTGCCCCGGCGCAGACCGCCAGCCTGGGCTGCTCCGCAGCTCTGTCTTCATCCGAGAGATCAGGGACAATCATCTGTAGGCTTTCCTGGAAATCCAGGAGGTCATTTTATTTCTCCAGTAGATATTTTAATATCTTGAGAACAGAGCGTGTTCTGGATCCAGATGTGACCCATTATTTAATCTTAATTAAAAGCAAATACCAAAACCCTCTCGCATAACAGTACGCTTGAAAAACGGAGTAACCTCCCCTGCAAGCCGATGCTGAGGCAGGCGCGGTTTGGTCTGTGTGAGCTATGTGCAAAGTAAAAGTCTTTGGTAAGAAACCTGCTGTAAAGCACTGCCAAGCCCCTGGACGTGTGACGCCGCTTTGGCAGGGGCTACTTTTTCTTCAGGAGAACATCCTTAAAAGCAGGGTGTTTCAAAGTCAGCAGTCCTGTGCATTAGAAGGAAAATTCCCTGCTCACCAGAAGTGTCAAGAGGTGATGGGCTGGCGTTTTTGGAAATGGTCAGATCTGTAGTGTAACCGAGTACCTTTCCAGTTTTTTTTCCTTTCTTTCTAGTTATATGTTCTGCGATATTTGACTTGAGAAAAGAAAAAGCCAAATGGATTGGGGTTTTCTTCCTTCAGAAAGAATAAATAATCTGATCTGCACATATAAAATCACAGAATAAAGGCTTGCACTGTGTGTCTTTGCAAAAAAAAAAAAAAAAAAAAAAAGGTCATTTGCTTTGTTTCATCACTAGAAAAAAAATCTGGCACTGGGGTTTTTTGCAAAAAAAAAAAAAAAAAAAAGAGTCCTTTCATTTGATTTCCATAGACTTCCTTTCTGTACAGATAAAATCAGGAATTATTATTAGCTGGGACTTGCCAAGACCCCAAGGGACTGCGATAGCAGTCCCTGCTAGGCTTTTCCAAAAATCCTGCCGTCCTTGTTGGGCTTCCGTAGCAGCACATGAAGAACACGCTCCCTCCCGTGTCACCGCAGCGTCGGACCGACCGGCGCGGGAGGAGCGGTTTGTTCGTGGCTCGGAGGCGGTGCTGCCAGCGAGGCAAGGGTTTAATTCTGAATTCTCCCTCTCCAACCCTTCCAGGCTCAGGTGTTTACATCACCCGCGGGCAGCTGATGAATTGCCACTTATGTGCCGGTGTCAAACACAAGGTCCTTCTGAGACGTCTTCTGGCCACCTTCTTTGATCGGTACGTGCTGCTTGTGCTCTCCCAAGTGATTCAGTTTATTTTCGGCTGTTTTAACCACATTAATAGATAATGTGCTGTGAGCGCTTCATCCTCTGTATATGCTGCACTGATTTCTGTGCTTTTTCTCAATGATTCTTCAACCCGAGCACCCATTTTTCCGATTCCTTGGCTTAAAATCACGTAAAGTGGTGATCCCTCCGTAAGAACCTACAGGGAAGAGGATGATGTCCCCTGGCGTCCCCGGTGTAAGGGTCCTTCTTTGCCTTTCTTGCAGGAACACGCTTGCCAACAGCTGCGGAACTGGAATCCGGTCCTCCACGAGCGATCCCAGCAGGAAGCCCCTGGACAGCAGGGTTCTTAACGCAGTCAAATGTAAGGAGAGAGATTTACTGCTGCTCTGTTGGAACAGCATGCCGAGAGCAAAGCCGAAACCTAAGCAGGGAAGGCCATCTCTGTTGAGGAATATGGGAACTATATATGGAGAAATTAGGTTATAGGAAAATTAATTTATTTTATGTTTTGCATAATTTTGGGGAGGATGAAGTGAATATTTTTTTATTATTATTCGTGTGGCAGTATCTTAATATAAACCATTATTGCTACTTGACTATTTTGCTATATTTTAAAGCAGTAATTTCGCAGTTAATTATTTTATTCATAGGTGCTCTAAGAAGGAAATTGAAATTATGTTTTTGGCAACGTTCAGGGCTTGATACCGCTGAAACAGGCCGTCTCTGTGTGCTGGCTTTTATGCCCCCAGGCTCCAGCTTGCATTCGGATTCATCTGAGTGCAGGGCTCTGCCAGATCCCCTGGTTCCCAGGAGGGGAGCGTGCAGCTCCGATCCATCTCCCAGAGACGTCCTCCGCACATCTCTCGGAGGTGCTGGCCTCGCGGTGCCTGGGCCATGGCGGTGCCTGAGAGCAGCCGTGCTTTGCGGTGCCCCGGGCTTTTGGGGCTGTGGGTCTTCAGCAGTGGACAGGCCCCGGGGCTCAGGGAACCCACTGGCTGCTTCAGCCCTGGTGGCGTGGCAGGATCTGCTCTCCGTCTCGCTGGCAGCCTTTCTGTTAGGTTTGCAGTCTATGGCCTTGAATATACTTTGTAAACAACTTTTTTTTTTTTTTAAATATGTAAAATGGGAGCCCTGCTGCAAATAATTGCCTTTTTAAAAGATTGCATAAGGCAACAGGAGCTTTTGTTTTTAACATGTGAACTCCACACGAAGTTCTGCATCGTGCCGCGCGGCTCAGCTAGTCGGTCTGTCTGTCTGTAGAGCCGCTGAGCTCTGTCTCAGAGGTGGGGGTACAACAGGTTCAGCTCTTTAACACCCCTCTTGCTGTCCTGCAGGTAAGATCCCCTGTCTCTGCGTGGTTACACAGCGCCCTAACTTTACCCAGGGCTGGGATGTGCAGGGCTCCCTGACGGATGGCCCTTCCCTGTGCACGTTTGTGCCCAACGTCTGGTGTTTATACAAGAAAAAGAGAGTTTTGTTACTTCCATCGAGGTCGTTTAATTATTTATGGCAGGCACCAGAAACAAACGGTTAAATATTTGGCTCTTGCAGTCACCCTTGAATACAAGGAGCGTGCTGTGGGACAGAAGGTGCCTGCTGGGGAGTGAGGACCTGGGTGGTGCAGGGAACCCCGATGGGTTAGTGCAGCGAAGCCCGGTTACCGTGGGCTGGATGTACAGTGGAAAGCAATGTGTTCTCTCACCCTCGCTGGATTCTGGGTAGTAAATCTTTATGTAAATATTATTGCGCTGGAAAATGAAACTCTAAGCAATTTTTTTTTTTTTTATTTTTTAAGATTTGGAAGATAAATCTTTCCTCTCCCTAATTGTTGCTGTGTTGCTGAACTCCAGGGGCCTTCCAGCCACCCTCTGAGATCTGTGGCATGTGGAGAAAAGGGATAAGATGGCAGACGTTCAGTACATAAAGACAAAATCATTAGACTGTGCTGTTGGTGCTTGTCCCTAGCTTGTGCGTGGTGCTCTCCTGAGCAGCCTCCCTGTTAGCAGCTTCACCCTGGAGAGCCCTGCGTCTGGACTTTCCAGCCTTGGTCCTTGCTGAGGCTTGCAAAGAGTTTCAGAGGCTGGAAAGGCGGCGTTGTCCAGTGACCGTGCCTACGACACTCTGTCATGTGTCAGGGCATAAGATGACATCTTACTGCCTGAATTTTAGAGAGAAATATCCCGTGCACAAGCTTTAGTTGATAATGATTCACCATGGCAGTGTGATGCTGTTGCTCCATGCCATCAGGTGCTTGGCCCCCGTGGAGGAGCGGGGCTGCAGCCGAGGTATGGCTGGGCTTCTGCAGGCCATGCTGGGATACTGGAGCAGCCACGCTGGCCAGGCCGGTGGTCCATGCAGCGTTGGTTGGCCTTGCGGTGGCCGGTGTGAGCCGTGGGACGGGCAGAGGACGGGCCTTCAGGCTCCACCGCTTGGTCAAGAGCAGCTCTGAGATTTCCCAGCCCCGCAGCTGTGCCTGCACCACCGTGGTTTTAAGAGCCATTAATGGCTCTGCTGTTGAGGAGTTTGTGTTGACCTTTTCTGTGTCCATCCTTTGGCCATCCCAGCATGCTGTGGCCGTGGTGCCGTGCTCCAGCTGGAGGCTGGGTCCTGCAGGCAGGAGCCTGGTACCTCTGGGGCTCGCTGGGTCCCTGGGGCGAGTGGTCCTTCTCCAGCCCCCTTCCCCGTGCCACCTGGGATTTTTATGCCTTCTGGTTTTCTCTCTTCTGGGTTGTGTCTGTCTCGAGCTGAGGAGTCCTTGTCCGTAAGTCTCTCCTTGCGAGAGCTCTGGCCCAAGGGTGAACCTCCGCTCTGTGGCATCTGCCCACACTAAGCCTTGCGGCAGGTCTCTAGGATGGGGCAGAGGCTGTGATCACCTTTGTGCCGCCTTTGTACTGCTTTCTCTGAATCCTCAGCTCTATGTATCCCTGTCTTTGCAGTGTATTGTCAGAATTTTGCCCCGAGCTTTAAGGAAAGCGAGATGAATGTTATAGCAGCCGATATGTGCACCAACGCCCGCCGGGTCCGCAAGCGCTGGCTGCCGAAGATTAAGTCCATGCTGCCGGAAGGGATGGAGATGTACCGCACGGTCATGGGCTCCACCACAAACAGTGTCCCCCTGGATCCTGAATTCCAGCCCAACACTGCTCAGGTCTTTGAGCAGCGAATCTATGCAGAAAGGAGGAGCGATTCAGGAACTATAGTAGCCTTGAGAACTAACACAGTGAACGTAGAGCTAAGCAATGGATCCAACCAGTCCTTCGAACAGAGCGAGGATGCCGAAGGGGCTGGCTCTGTGATACAGGAGGCAGCTGCCACAGATGCTATGGCATCGGATACCCAAAGCACTCCGCAACCTTTTGAACAAGGTTCGGGCTCCTCCAGCAGGCCCGAAACTCCCGTGAGAAGACAAGATGGTACTTACGGAGGGACTTTATAAAGAGAGCAAACGTTTCGTGACCTATAAGGGATCTGTAATACTAAAGCTGCTTGCATGCATTACTAATACAAAACAAAAAATGTGATCAAGCCACTTACCTACTGAACTGCTACTGTTGCCTGAAAAAAATGTGATTTTTATTCTGCTTGTATTTAAAATTTATGAAGGAAATAATCGCATTCGTTATACTGTAAATGACTAGGTCTGTGGCGACCTACTTAAAAAAAAATATTGGGCTCCTTTTTTGATATTCCTGAGGTTAGTCTATAAGATTGTAGCTTTTCTCTTTTTTTTTTTCCTTTTTTTTTTTTTAATTTGAAGAAGGGGAGGAGAAAAGCTAGCCACCCCCCCAACCACCACCACACCCCGTCATCACCACCCCATCCATTACTCAGCTCAGAAGTAAAGCCATCGTTAACCTTGTCCTCTAAAGAAAGTTTTACCGTCACTTAACAGGAAAGCGAGGTGTGTTAGGGTACAAGTGCTGTGACTGGCGATGTTTGTCTCTAGCAGAAGGGCTCTAGCCAAGTGGGACAGGGTGGGGGAAATCGTTAAAGGCTTCTGGTGTCGGAGAGAGCCCCTTGCCGTGGGTGCTGCGGGGCAGGGTGCTGTGGGGCAGGGTGCCAGGGTGCCCAGCCGCTGCCAGAGGCTGGCGAGGGCTCGGTGCCGTTGTCTCGGGGAGTTTTATCTGGTTCCCCAGAGCAGGGATGCTTCCGCAGGAGTTCAGGCTTGCACGTGTCGGGAGGACTGCGTGGGATGCAGGTGGAGACCCTGGCCAGTGTAGTGGTTGTTGTCGGTTTTTTCCCCAATACGGCTGAGTTTTGGGTTTGGTTTCTCTCTCCCTCCCTCCCAGCGATTCGTTTTCGTTTGCTACTCCTTGCTTGCACCTTCACGTCACCCGCTTCTTGGGCGAATGGGCTCGCGTCACCCCACTGCACCCCATCGCCTCGGGGCAACGGGGCATGCGGGCAGGTGGAGCAAGTCCAGGGGCCACCTCCCATGGCGGGGAGTAGCCCCCCTCAGCTGCCTGCGAAGGGCTTTGGAGAGGAATCTGAGCACAGAAAGCATGTTGTTCTTGTTCCGAAGGGCACGGAGCTGGGAGCTCTTGGCGTCGGCTCCTGGCAGCATCCGCACCAGAGGCAGAGCACGGTGCAGCCGCTGGTGTGCAGGGCTTGCCCGCTGCCCCCTCCCCTCTGCCCCAGGCCAGCAGCAGCCTCCTCTCGCTTTTTAATAATTTGAAGTGTATTGGATGCAAAAAGGTTTAAAAAAAAAAAAATTAGCTTTGTGCCCTTCTGTGAAGAGGTTTTGAGGAAGAGGACGCGTTTCGCCTCTTGCTCATCCTCCAGACACACCCTTCTGGGGAAAAAGCCCAATGTTGAGTCTTTTGTCATTTTTTTTCTGTTGAAAGCTGATGTCCCCGGGCTGTGTTGGCTTTGGTGGCCCTGGCCGGCCTCAGCTCGGTTGGAATGGGACCTGCAGGTGCCCCTGGAGCTGGGCCGGGCAGCGGGTACCAGCTCACCCCCTGCCCGCTGCCTCCTGCCCGCGTTGGCTCTGCCCGCTTGCCCTTAGAAATCCCCCAAAGTGACCGCGATCCTTCCTGCAGACCCGGCTCCCCCAGGGCTCTGGGCGCAGTCCCCGCTCACCGCTTCGCCCTGGGGGATGCTGGGCGCCCGCCGGGCTGCCGAGGCCGGGGTGCCTCCAGGGGATGGGGGCAGTGATGTGAAAGCCAAGTACAGCTTTTTTCTTTTCTTTTTTAATTATTATTTTTACTGTGACTAAACAGCCTGCTTTAATGATATTTACAGCTTGTTTTTAACAAGTTTGGGACTATGAACAAGTGCAAAGTGCACAGAGAGTCACTTTTGAAGGCTACTGTGGCTGTGCTCTTCTTTTCTTTCCTGCTTTGGTTCCTGAATCCAGACAGCGCTTTGCTCAGGGTTTTCTTCCTTCTTTGTATTTCCATTGGGAAGGGGGGGGGGGAAGGGAGAGGATAACCCAACTTTTGGCCATTTGTTTTGTTTTCTTCGATACTTGAAGCAGTTTTTTGCATCCTAATAACAAAGCTGTCCAGCGCTTAACCTGTTCCACTGCTCCTTGCCCTGAGAAAAAAAAAAAAAAATCAATAACGGGGTGGTTTCTGCCTCACGTCTTGCACAGCTCTTGGGTTTTGGCACGGCTTGGCTTGGGCGAACCGCGATGCCCTGGACCGGGTGCCCTGCCACTGGCGGCGCGGGGGGGCCGGTGCAGGTGGCGGCACGATGAGCTGGTGCAGAGGCGCGCGATGCTTCAGGGGAGCGAGGACAAGAGCGGCTGGGGGCTCTATTTGCACTTTACCCACGCCAGCAGACAAAATTCACGCTCTTGCCGAAGCCTGGAGCCAGTGCAGCTCGTCTGCTGCCCGGCAGCGCCGCGGGAGGAGGACAAACCTGAGCAGGGGGACCAGAGAGCTGAGCTTGAGGTGGGCTTCTTCCCCGGCCACCCC